AAAAATATAATATTTCTTTTGAAATATTATATTTTTGTTTATATTTTTTATATTATAAGAAATATCAAAAGAAATATATTTTTAATTGTGTTGGGATTGTCACCTGCGGACATTTTAAACTGTTTTGCATATTTGTGTAGAGGCATAGCCTCTAAAGAAAGGTTGTCTCTGTAATGGAAATAGTTGTTCCTGGTGATTGGACATGGCAAGCAAAATTGGACTTGTATCCATTTGTGATGTATTTTACTTTTTATTAAAAAGAACTGTAGATGTTTTAAGAAGCTTATCTGGAGTTTCCTTCATTCAGGCAAGCTAATAATAAAATGAGATGAAAAAAGTTTAAAAACAATTAATTTTGAATTGTAATAAAAAGCTAAATTATCGTTAAATAAAATATTATATATTTCCTAATTTCCCTTCGAGAAAATAAAATTCCTCATCAGTACCTCTTCTTCATTTTACCCAATCGACTCGAAAAGTACTCATTTTGAGGGAAAATCCCTAATCTGACAACCTGTATTCGGCACTTATGTTTAATTTGCTACAAGAAGCGGACTAAATCCCGAAAGGGTTCGAAGCTCCTTTTCGTAAAAATCCGTAGTAGTTGAAAACGAAAACAATCATTGATTAATTTGTTGTAGTTGAGATAATAGTATAGGCTACCTAAAAAGAAGGTACCGTGAAACTCAAAATCATAATAAAAAGTTTGAAGTTTCATTTCTTAAAATTCAGTATTTTTTTTACATTTTGTTTTAACCTATGAATTTATTAATACAATAGTGCCTCGTACTTCGAATTTAATTCAATCCAGGAGGCCGTCCGAGCCCCGAATCAATTTTTTCGCGTCAGAAATAATGAAAATTCAATTAATCCGTTCCCAGATTGAACAATACCATTTCGATAAAATTAAAACAGTAAATACACATAATTTATTTGCCTATTTTGAGATTTTAATATTATACAGTATCGTTCATTTGCCAATCTTCATCTTCGCTCGAGTTCGTTTTGACTCGTCCGAACTATTGACACTGCCGGAACGAGAAATTTGTTGTACGCTTATTCTCTTAAACTTTTAATTAAATTCCATTTTCGCAATAACGTTTAGGAAGGATAAGCTAAGCCTACCCTTCCTAAACGTTAAACTTTACCACAAAATTGAATATTTCAATATTCTTCCAACTGCACAAGCAGGCGAGACACGAGGCTGATCTTGGATAGTCTCGCATTCCACCAGCAGATCTCGTACATATCCCAATGGGAAAACTGGCACAACGCGAGCATTGGGTAGCAGTAAGACTTGTTTCGTCTGTAAATGAAATTAAAATGTTCGTATAGCGTACCGATGTTCGAACAACTGTAATATTTTGTATTTAACTGACAGTTTTGTATACACTGTTAATATGTACTATTGTAAATGTATATAATTTTTCTCAGCTGTGCTCTTGCGGTGCTGAGTATGTGCCTCGAGCACCTAATAAAAACGATTGATTGATTGATTGAACTGTAATGCCGCGGCCAGACAAAGCAATATGCAATGGATGCCATATTCGTTCCGTCAGAACATGAAACGAATATAACCAAAATTTCATCTGGATTGGACAAAAATTGCAGGCGTTATACAGAATTCATACATACGCTCACACACCCAGACGACGGCTTTTATATTAGTAACTAGCAGATAAGCCCGGCGTTGCCCGGGCAAAAAGTAACGATAGCGAAGATTAAGATTATTACATTGTAGCCAATCTTACCCGTTTTCACAGAATGCAACAATTAGGTCCCCCTGTTTCCAGACTAATTAAAAAATGTTTAAATGGGTCTAAAAATATGTTCGATTTCCCGCAAAATACGCAAAAAACTGCATCTGCGCCTGTAAATGTTGCACGTTGCTTTCTCTTAACACTTCCATTATTACTGAACACTTCTATTGTTAACACTTCCATTGTTACTTAACACTTTCATTGTTGAAGCCTTAGTCTTGTCCCTCTCCTTTCCAGGGGAAATTTCGAAAAATTCCTGCTTAGTGTACGTTCTCCTGACGTACCCTAACTGTGTACCAAATTTCAACTTTCAACTCCTAACCGTTTGGGCTCTGCGCTGATTATTATTATCAACCCGTTTCGATTATATATATAGACTAGCAGACCCCGCCATGCGTTGTTGTGGCTCAGAATGTATCTATTATAAATGTATAACACTTCCCCGTGGGGAGGGAAATTTTTCGAAAAATTTCTTCTTAGTGTACATTCTCTTGACGTACCCTATTAAAACGCAATCAAACACGCAAAAACCCGCATCTAAAATAATATAATAGAAGCCAAGTTCTTCACGGTAAACCATAATTCTGTCCCTCTCCCCCGCGGGGAAATATCGAAAAATCCCTTCTTAGTGTACATTCTGTTGACGTACCCTATTAAAACGCAATCAAAAACGCAAAAACCCGCATCTAAAATNAACACCTCCTCTTCTTAATGAACTCACCGACGTGGCTATTCCGATAGCGAAGAGTGAAGAACAACACCGTGCGCCATGTTTACTCTCTGATTGGTCGATTGTAAATGGTACTCTATTCCGTAATTGGTTGGAAAGTTTGAATTGGAACGTATGCAATGTCTACTGGATATTAAATCGATGACGTACTTATTACTTTTATTTTCATTCTGAATCATCTAATGGAAGCTAACCAGAAGCTATTTTTTATTTTATTTAAAACATATTTCGCTTAAAAGAAAATTAATTAATTTTAAAAATTATAAAGAAATATACAGTCAAATATAAATATTTATATTTTTTGAAATAAAGTAAAGTCAAATTATAATCTACATTTATTACGTTTTAAATTCGTATTACTTTCAATTAGATTGTAAATACTTGAGCAAAGATTTCTTTATTTAAAAAATCCGAGATTTAAATTTCAAAGAAAATTTGATTTCGTAATTTCAAACTAAAATAAATATTCATTAAATTTACTTTACACATTAACGCTTAAATCTGTCGAAATACGATGAAATACCACCCAATAATAAAAACAAATTAATTTAACTCGATTGGAGTCATTAAACTTTATACTTCAATATTTCAAAATAACATGATAAAGTTATCTGATTTGAATTTTAATTAATTGTTAATTTATATTTTAAAAGTAAGAAAAAGGTCAAGTCACAGTTAAAATTAACACGGCCAGATCATTAGTATAACTATTTAAACATCGTAATAAACATAATAATGTCAATATTTATTAAAAAAAAAATAGTAACATAAAATTGTCGTTGGTAAATATTGCAAAATATAATTTAAAAACTCAGTCATTAAATACTAAAATAAACGTTGATAATAAATACTGTATGTAGATATAACAAATGTAGTCAATAGATAACAGAATTTAAAATTTTAATTAGATTAACGTATAGATGATTATTATTTATTAAAGACAATCGTTAAATTTGTCTACATTTTAAAACATTGGTCAAATTTATGCTTATGAATTAAATATTTTTTAAAATTCCTTCCCCACTAGAACTTTTCCCATTATGAGCTCCGCCAAACCCATAATGGGGGCGACCGGATGGTGAGGGGCCCGACGTATTCGGGACAGATTATACATAAAAAAAATTCCTTGGATTCGATTTCGGGTCCTTCAAAGCGCCTTAACCGCCTCGGCCATTTGATCATCGATATAGTTAAATCAAATAATCGTGAAAATACGATATCGCCCACCATTTGTCAAGTTGATAAAACCACCTAACACCAATCGTGGATTCGCGTCTGGTCAACGGGCTGGCTACGTGGAGTTTTCCGGGTTTTGTTCACGTTAGTAACACCCAAATAGGGTCAGTTTCCCATGTGGTATCGCCCATGTGTCGCGTTGCCTTTTACGAATAAACCATATCTGAGATCACATAGATTATTACAGTAGCGCGTCGTTTATCCGAAACGTCGGTTATCCGAAAGCATTCCAGTCGGCAAATTTAAATTTTCGCTAGTGCTATGGCGCTGCAATCTTTGGCTGTATCTTGGACTACTCTAATATATATATTTTTTGTTGATGTGTGTTTTTTAGCTGGCAGCACTGGCACTTTTGTGTGGTATTTTTCTGAGGATTGTGTGTGGTGCCGAATCGAACGTTTTTGATACTAGATCATCTTCTAAAGTATATATTTTTTGGTTTTTATATTTTTCAATATATTTATTTTGTTTGTAAGAAATAAAGAAATAATTTTTAACGATACATTATTATTTTGAAAAAGTATACGTTAGGCTTAACATCGACGAAAATTTAACGCAAAGCGACACGCAACGAAGAAAAATTTCAATACGGGATAGGTTAATATGTTTTTTTGTTTATAATCGGTTATCCGAAAAATAAGTTATCCGAACACCCTCAGTCCCCAATTGATTCGGATAAACGACGCTCTACTGTATATGGAAGAAAATTTTCTGATTTTATGCTAAAAAGGTAATTTTATTTTTGATAATCATTATATTTAATAGAAATGGATGAATACTATCCGTAAATACTCGAATACAGTAGAGCATCGATTATCCGACTCAATTGGGGACTCGGGTTGGTCGGATAACGGAAAAATCGGATAACCGAAAAGAATGAATAAAAAATACATTATTAGAATAGTATATTAGTATATCCCATGTAATTAGTATATTAGTATATCGATGTTAACCTACTTCGCGTTGAATTTTCATCGATGTTAAGCCTAACAATTTTAAAAAAATAATAATCGTCGCTATTGTATCGTTAAAAATTATCTTTGAATTATTTTATTGCTCACAAAACAAATAACCACTCATAATTAGAAAATTAAGTCTCGTTTAAATACTGGCCTCCCTTCAATGGTCAAGCCGTTGATGCCAGCTAAAACACGCAAAAATTTAACAAAAATATTAAAATAGCCAAGACATAGCCAAATATTGTAGCGCCACATCACTAACGGACATTTGAAATTTGCCGACTAGACGGTCGGTTAACCGATGTGACGGTTAATCGGGGGTCGGAAAATCGATGCTCTACTGTAGTTTTTAGTATTTGAGTATTCAAGAATTTTGAATATCCCGTAGAAAAAAATTCCGAATACTACGAATACCTATTACATCGTGTCATACATACCGACAGCGTCTTTTCAACCAGATGTGCCAGATAGAGGGCAAAATTGCTCTGCCGTAGACAGTTTGTTGTGTGCCGAATTACGGTAGCTATTTCCGAAATAATTTCTATTTATTTAGACTCGAGTGTGCGGGAATTGTCACGGGAGCATAACAGGAACTGCATCGAGTTTCGTGCAGTTAATTGTACGGCAAGGTATAAAAAAGGACCCGATATCGCGTTTCTCCGTTCAGTTAGATATAGGCCTTGTTCCTCCGATATTGTATCGTCGGTCCACCATCAAAATCTAACTCCTTCCGAAGAAACATTAATTAAACATCTTTCAGAAGTCCGTTATTATCCAATGTCGATTATTCATCTTACAAAAAATATATGTAACATCCTTTGTACTTATAATAAATGATTCCTTATTGTGAAATTTAAGTATAGGGTTTGAATGTATTTTGGCCCCGTAAAATTTTTGAAACGAGCCCCGCAAAAGGTCACGGCGGCCCTGACGGTAAGTAGAAATGAAACGTACAAGAAATTTTGAAATAAATATATTAAAATGCATAAACTGTATAAAATTTATTGCAATAAACGTCCACTGAAGCTCAACCCCTCTTCCCCGTGTACGATTTTTCTCCGACTTGCTCAAAGGCAAAAAGCNCAATGTCCTGTAGCTTGTGTAGGCCACTTCTGAGGACTTCCTCATTTGTGATATGGTCACAATATGTAATTGTAAGTAGCCTTCATTGATAGAATATGTTCAGTTTCTGAGTAATCTTTTTGTCTTTCCATGTTTTGCAGGTGCAGATTGAATGACAATGGTGTTGTAGAGGTGTCACTGTACTAGACTACACATAGTCTCTGAAAGACAGCTTATGCTTTAACAAGTCGGCATTTTATATTTATGTCAATGCCGCCATCTGACGATAACATGCTGTCAAGGTAGCAGAACTCTTCCATTTCATCCATTGTTTGACTCACAACTGTAATTTTTACGTTTTTGTAGGGGCGGACTAAGGCCTAGGCAACCTAGGCACGTGCCTANAGAAATGAAACGTACAAGAAATTTTGAAATAAATATATTAAAATGCATAAACTGTATAAAATTTATTGCAATAAACGTCCACTGAAGCTCAACCCCTCTTCCCCGTGTACGATTTTTCTCCGACTTGCTCAAAGGCAAAAAGCTTTGCACCTGAAGGAAAAAATACCTATGACTGTTCATCGCATAAATAGACAATTTTTACGACTAATTTGCAAAACCGATAAATAATGAATGAAATAGTCAAAATGCTCTGGAAATTTAAGCTTTTTGCCCTCCTATAATAGTTAATAATATAAAAGTTTTTTAAATCTCATAAAAGCCGGAAAAGTTACTCAATTCGCTGAATTTTTTAAAATACTGTACTGTACTAACAAAATCTGACCATTTTAATATTGTAATAAGCTTTCGGTTAAACGTTTTTCTATTATAATAAAACAAAAGTTTTTATTTTATAAAAAAGAAAATGTACTTAATAAATGAGCAGAATTAAAAAATATGAGAGATTATGGCCAGGCCTAGCATTTTAATAGAACTGTAGATTTCTTTGTAGACAAGGGCTGGCAGAATTACAATTTAATAAAGTAAAATACATCACAAATAGATACGAGTCTAATTTTGAAATAAATATAAATATAAAAATATAAACAAAAATATAATATTTCTTTT